TCCTTTTGGAAACACAAATGAAGCTGCAGAGCCAAACAGCTTTCCTCCTGTTTACAGACCTGTGTGTGTGTGTGTGTGTGTGTGTGTGTGTGTCTGTTTGTCTGTATGTGTGTCTGTTTGAATGTATGTGTGTATAAAGCGCTGTGTTAGAGTGGGTGTCTGTATGTGTGTGTGTGAGTGTGTTTAAAGCGCTGTGTTAGAGTGTGTGTCTATCTGAGCGTGTGTGTGTGTGTGTATAAAGCGCTGTGTTAGAGTGTGTGTATGTGTGTGTGAGTGTGTATACATACCTGTGTTATTGTGTGCGTCTATGTGAGCTTGTGTTTGTGTGTATACAGACCTGTGTTATAGTGTGTGTCTATCTGAGCGTGTGTGTGTAAAAAACGCTGTGTTAGAGTGTGTATATACAGACCTGTGTTATAGTGTATGTCTATGTGAGCTTGTGTGTATACAGACCTGTGTTATTGTGTGTGTCTATGTGAGCGTGTGTGTGTGAGAGTGATACAGACCTGTGTTATAGTGTGTGTGTGTGTATACAGACCTGTGTTGTTGTGTGTCTATATGAGTATGTCTGTGTATACAGATCTGTGTTATAGTGTGTGTCTATGTGAGTATGTGTTATATATGTTGTGTGTGTGCATTTGTGTGTGTATGAGTATGTACAGAGTGCAGACCTGTGTTATATATGTTTTGTGTGTATGCCTGTGTGTATGTATGTGTGTGTAAGTGTGTACGTCTGTGCACGTATATATGCGTGCACGTCTCCATGTTTGTGTGTATGTATGTGTGTACGTCTGTGTGTGTATGCCTGTGTGTGTTTGTGTGTACATATGTGTGTGTATACAGACCTGTGTAATGTATGTTTTGTATGTATGTATATCCCTGTGTGCATGCCTGTGTGTGTGTACGTATGTACTGTATGTATGTGTGTACCAGTGGCGGCTGGTGGAATTTTGTACTGGGGGGGCTATGAATATGATGACTAGATATATACCAGCAGTAAGTAAGTTTACACTGACTGTTGTGACTGAAGCCTCACACGAGAATCAACAAGGTCACATGATCAGGCCTGTAGCTTTCATCCAGCTGGGATGAAATATTTATCTTCCCAAACATAGCTAATTTGAAGGCATTTTGCATGTGGATACCAGTCTGCTCATGCTTCTTTGCCTTTTCTAAAAAGTGCTTCAGATCAGTCATACCTGTCTTGATCCATGCTGGGTCAGATCCTGATGTTTGAAACAAGAGGCATGGAAAGCAAAATAAAGGATTAGCCTCGCTACATGCTGCTAGCCAAGATTTGGCGCTGAACCAGGTCCTGGAAAAAGTACGAGTGTCCCCCTGTCGCTGGATTGCTGACTAATGGTAATATTTGGCTGATCAGGTCCAAGCTCTTTAACCTCAACCTTCTCCTGGTATGATCTTCTCTCAAACGGTATTGTTTTGAGTGATCTAACTGAATTATTCTTTTTCTCGTTCTCCATTTTGCGTCTCTTTACGTTCGTCTCAAACTCCCACAGCTTGACCTGTCAATCACTGTAAACGGACGTCACAGACAGTGACAGTACAGGTCGCGGGCAATCCCGCCCCCTCAGGGCGCACTTCTCCTGCGCCCCCAAATCGTCTTATCTCTTGCATTGAAGAGGAGCTACTGCGCATGTACAACTTTTAACGAGAGTCCATAGACGGCTCAGGGCGCAATCTTTTGCGCCCTGAGGCGGAAATACGTCCTCAGTCCGACACAGACAACGCTGATGAGCTTAATCAATCCAACTCAGCATAAACTATAAAGTATTTCTTCCACATCTGAAATAAAACACACATACATTTCGAAATATTTTAATGTTATTATTTTTTTAAACGTTTTATTCAAGGTAACATGGCAAGTTGTGAGTGGTGGGGCGGCGCCCTAGCGCCCTCTATTGGCCGGCCGCCACTGGTGTGTACGTCTGTGTGTGTATGCCTGTGTGTGTACATATGTGTGTATGTGTGTGTACGTCTGTGTGTGTATGTGTGTATGCCTATGTGTGTACATATGAGTTTATGTGTGTGTGTACGTCTGTGTGTGTATGCGTGTACGTCTGTGTGTGTATATACAGACCTGTGTTATATTCAAAGACACACTTAGTATTCATGAGGCCCCTCCCCTCCTCTCTGGACCTAATGGTTTATTCAATCACTCCCAGCGGCCGCTTCTGTGTTATGACAACCTATTAAACACTAAATTAAATGCGTTTTCGCCCCGGAGGACATCACGTTTGCTTCGATATTGCCCGCTCCTTTCTGAAAAGCTTTTGTTGCAGACGTCCCGGGCGGCGACAGCGGAAAGGGGGCCACGAGCGCGTCAACTTCCACCCTTCAAACTGAGATAAATGGCTTGTCAAAAGAGTGGAAGAACGCGTGGCGACACCATTGACCCGCCGCAGAAAAAGCCGGCAAAGGTTATCGGTGCCGAGAAATTAAAATGCCACCAACTGTAAACATAATGACTTTACAGAAATGTGAGTGGGTCTGAGCGACACGGCTCCGAGCTGTGGTTTTTACTCTCGGACTTATTACAGGCACGGTTTCGAAATGATCTTTTCATTCAGATTCTGCTAATGCGTCGCTTTTCTAACGGGTGTAAAGTTTGATGGAGGTACTTACATCTGAAATTGCGCTATTGTACCAAGGACACGGCTAGCATCAAAGACAGAATCAGGGGCTGTGATGTCGCCGATGGAAGTCTGGACACGCCTGAGTGGACAGAGTCATCGAGTCGCTCCTGTCCTCTCTTCACCTTTTGTGGGTTTGGGATTTGAAGTTTTTATGCGAAACTGTACGATTTACAAGTTATTATTTTGTCATCGGTCCAGCTGCAATGCTTTATGTGTGTTTGGTTGTTTTTAATGTTTGGATAGTGTTTCATTCACCCATGTACTGTATGCAGGTGTGTGTGTGTGCATGTACAAACAAACACACTCACACCAACCCCCTGACACACACGCGCAACAATGCACATGTACACACACTCTCTCTCACACACACCCATTCACTCTCTCTCTCACACACACACCCATACACCCTCTCTCTCACACACTCTCACACACACACATAGACACTCTCTCTCTAACACACACACATATAGACACTCTCACTCTCTTTCACACACACAAATATACACACACGCATACACGCTGTCTCTCTCTTACACATTTTCTCTCTCTCTCACACACACACATACACACCCTCTTTCTCTCTCTCTCTCTCATACACACACACACACACTCTCACACACACATAGACACTCTCTCACTCTCTCACACACACACATACACCCTCTCTTTCTCTCACACACTCTCTCACACACACACTTTCTCTCTCTCACACACACACACACAAACAAACACACAAGTTTGTTGCGCAAAAGTGTGCAGGAACATTTAAATGTGCACGTTATTGTCCCCGTAGGTAAATTCATCCTGCATTTGACCCATCCTGATGCCACTTGGGCCTCAGTAGAACCCATCTCCAAATGTTGATACTCGGGTTGGTCAGGACTACCAGAGCTGGAGGATTTGACCTATTGTGAAAGTTTTTAGCGGGGGAAATCCGGAAACCTACACAGACACAGGGAGAACATGCAAACTCCACTTAGAAAGCTGTAGATTCCCTGTCAGATGAGGACTAGCCATTTTAGTTAACACATTTTAGTAAACCCTGAGGTTCATGGGAATATAATATCTGCTCATGTAGATTTAAACTGCAGTACCGCAGGTGGCCTCTAGTTCACATCGAGACATCATTTAGGCAGCGACACCCTAACCCAGTGTTCCCCAACCTTTTTGAGCTGTGGCACCCCTTTTCCATTGAAAACAATCAAATGGCACACCACCAGCTAAAACGTAAGCATGAAACTTTGGAGCCTTTTTCAACACCGAAAGTCATTCTCATCAAAGTGCATTACATAGAATTAAAAAAGTCTTTCTAAATTTCTCACATTAATTTCTTTTCACTTTATTTTGACCAAATATGGGGTATGGGGTATATGGGGAATGAGTCTGGTGTGTGTGTGAATGGTTGGTGGTGGTCAGAGGGGCCGATGGCACACACTGGTTGCCTCGCTTCTGTCAGTGTGCCCCAGGGAAGCTGTGGCTACATTAGTAGTTTATCACCACCGTGTTTGGAGTGAATGAATAATGACACATGTGAAGCGTCTTTGAGTGTCCAAAAAAGCGCTATATAAAACCGATGCATTATTATTATTATTATTATTGGCACCCTTTCCATCGGCACACCATAAAACATCTCAAGGCAAACCAACGTTCCATGGCGCACTGGTTGAAAAACACCGGCCTAACCACATACAGTAATCTCATACATCCATGGTACGTATAGGTTCAATTCCATGTATTTTTGTGTATAGCCCTAAATCACATACTAATACTCAAACTGTCACTTTCGGTGTTAATATAGTGTAGAAGTTTATATGAAATTAGTCGGAAGTTGTTGATAGCCCTGTCTTACAGAGAAGTATTTTTAGTTAAATAGGTATTATGGGGGTAGGATTGAATACGTTTTCTTCTTCCTACTCCCTTTCATGTAACTATTTTGGTTTTTTTTTTTTTATTGTTTTTTTTTATTCATGTTATTTATTTTTTTGGAAACTATGATAGACCTTGTGCCTTATGTGAAATGCCTGAAATGAATAAATAAACAAACAAACAAACATCAGTATCTCCAAGGACTTTACAAAGCTGTCGATTCGCACACACACAGATCAGAGAATCAATCAACTCAAACACCTGAAATGCACTGATAAAGGTACAGGTCTGTGAGGAGTACTGTGTCTGCATCTTTAACCGATGGAAAAGACACATTTCTTTACTATTATGTCCCTGGCTCCCTCTGACACAGTGTTTTTCTGTATTTTCCCTGAGCGGGTCACCATCAGCGCTCTGTCCTCTGCTGTTTGTTGCTTATGTATTGAGTGCTGTTTAACCTGCGCTGCGCCGCTCGGCCTCATGGGAATTGTGTCCTCTCCGTCTCCTACAACATCCATCATGGCCGCCGTCCGGGGAGGCGGCAAGTCTCCGGAGCCTCGTGTTTTAACATCGAAAAAAGGACAAGAACACACTCTGGGACTAAAGAGGCGCCCGGATCACAGCAGCGGGACAGACGAAGGAGTTTGTCCGTGTTTATCATTTGACAAACGTTGGCGTAAAGCTGGGGTACGTAACTTTTTGTCTATTTGAATGGAACTGTGTGTATTCACTAACACCAGAAATCGTATAAATACCAGGTTGTAGCTTTTTGTTACTCATTTCTATCTGTAGTCCCACAGTCACAAACACACCAATTCTACATGACTTTAGTGGTAGGGGAAACTGGAGCACCTGGAGGAAACTTTCACAATGATAAGAAATATAATAAAATCCACATCAGTCTCAAAACGGTGGGGAAGGAATGAGCAGCAGGGCCTCTTTTTTAACCTATTGTTCCCCCTGTCAGACTGTACAATGAGAACTGCTGAGCCTGTATATGTCATTCATCTGTAAATAGTAAATACTGCAATTTCAGAATGTCACTTTATCTATTTATCCTGCCATATATGTATATAACTCAGCACTACAAATATATAGATAGAGATAGATTGATATGAACGCATTTACAGCTAGCTAAGAAACATAGCACCTTTCTTTCCGGACTTTGCATGTTCTCCCTGTGTCTGTGTAACTCCGTTTTTCCAGTAGAAGTGCACCACCTCCTGACTTTTGCATAAACATACATCCATACATTGTTTCGTTTTTTCTCCATCTAAATCTCGCTGCACCCGGGTCAGATCAGTCCACTCAAGTCCAACCTGTTCCCAGTCCCGATAAGTGCAGATTTGTGGGTCTCCGAGGGCTCGGGCTGGACCTAAAGCTGGTGGAGGGTAGAATCTACAAACAATGGGCAGCAGGTGGTGATGGATGGGGTGCAGGCGTCCCATCAGTCCTGGCCCGGTCGGAGCAGACGGAGAGAGAGGGAGGAATGAAAAGAGGAGATGGATGCTGCGTGTGTTTTAGGGACACAGGACTTTGGACTTCCTCAAAACTTGGACGGATCAAATTGTTCTGGTGTTTTGGGAATTACGAAGCCAGCGTTGAAAAACAGGCCAGTCCTGGGAGATTGTTGGATGGGATGACTATACAATGCATCTGTTTTTGGGAAAGTTTTGGATGTATTTGTGCACTATATAGAGTTAAAAGGAGCTTTGCATGTGATGATAAATACAACAATCCAAGTTGTGACCAATTTTCATGGAACGGTTGACAGCTCCATGACCAGGGGACATGGAGCATGTTCAGATCAACGGTCTGGGCTCATTGGGACATGCTAGCACCACGGAGGCCAAAACATTAGCACAAGTGACGTGTTCGGGCCAGCTCTGGTTCTCCCGGTCCTTTGCAGTTGTTGTGCAGTGGTTCTACTTCAGATACAGACTCGCGATTTGCCGTAAAACCACATTAGAAAACTTTAACAATAGTCCCCAAAGTGCACAAGACAAGTACATAGATAAAACAAGGTTAAAAGTACAGAAATAAAAAAGTGCTGGAAACGATTGACACTGTGAGATCGATCGACTAAAACAGTTTCAATACAAGTGCAAGATTAATAAAAATCTCTGTTTAAACTAATAACAGCTTGTGGAAAGAAACAGAAAAAAAAATACAGATACATTTTTGGGGTAATTTCATTCTTATTCACTTTCATTGGTTTGAATGGGAGCAGTTCTACTTCTTTTATAACAGTGGGAGTCTTAGTGTTAAAACTGAGGTCTATGGGAAAATCTCCTTACAGCCCGTGCGGATTTAAGATGCAGTACCTCCGGTGGCCTCTAGTCCATGCGGAGACCTCTTCAAGCATCTCTGAAACCATGGCAACTGTGACCGGCAATCTCCAGTCCAACCACAAACGTATAATTTACCAGTAGAGAAAAAAAACAGAAAAGTTTGACGGCAATCATCGGTTATATCCGGCTGGGAAGATTGCGACTAAAATGTACTTTGGGTTCAAAAGGAGAACGATTTTACAGCTGTCGTTACCTGGAGTAAAAACTGAACCATAGTTGTGGGTGAAATGATGTTGCTTCCATTTTGTGAATAGCGGCATAACTTTGGCGTTTTACTGTGGACATTTTCAATAGCTGGGATTGATTGCGAGACAGCAGAACTTTCCGGATTCAATTTCTTACTTATCCAACTTAAGTATCTCACTGAGCACACAGATCTCAAAGCAGTCCATTATCTTTTTTTCAATCCTCTTCCAGTTTTTTTTCCAATATGCGGATCTGAAAAGCCTGTTACATCTAGGTGCCACTATTATAACAACGGGGCAACTTTTTGTGCAGCTTTAAACACATATTCTACTCTAATGAGCTCGGTTTCTATGCCTGGTCCAGGGCGGCAGATGACCCTTATGGTTTCTTCTTCATGTCGGTCCACTGGCGCGTTAATTGGTCCTCCAGAGAAATAATTAAACGAGTCGATGAAAAGTTTGCGGGGATCTGGCAGCCCCAACAGATGCGATTTTAAGCTGTCGAAAATGGCTCGATGCCGCGACCACCGGAGGAGATGTCTGAACTCTTAAGGTTTTCTGTCTTTGTGCGAGCTTCAAAACCAGCCCCGGGATTCTATGGAGGGTTTTCAAATGAACTGAAAGACAGACTGCGCCGCGTGACTTAAAATTAACAAAATTTAGGTCAAAGTTAGAACAAGAAACTTTGACAACAAGAGAGGCACATGCACGTGTCCAGGTTCTGTCCATAGACGATATTTTAGTCACCATATACTGTATGTGCTAGCATGAATGCGAAAGAAGCCGATTTGAACATAAGCTAGCTAGAGCCAAGTTTGTTTTATAGGTGATTTCTATTCAGACATAACAGAGGCTAAAGATGGATTCTATGGCATGCTGAAGAGACTGTAGACTGAGACTATATCAAAAGAAAAACTCCAGGGCAAAACCATATTTTTTTAGGTCAAAATGTTGAGGGTGGTTACCAAGCTAGGAGAGTTTACTCAATATAGTCAATGGAAGCAAAAAAGAGTTGGAGAAAAAAAAAATCTATGAGCACTTCCCTTCAGCGCTTCATTGAGCTAGCGGGTTAGCATTGTCCATCTATTTACAGTCTATGGAACCACTTAAACCGGCCCTGATTTAGATCATGATGAGTTCAGTTAAAACAGTCGTCTATTGGCTTTCTTTTGCTCCATCCGCTATTGGTTAAGTGTTACATTACAACATGCCTCAAAATAGTAATAATTATGCATCGGTTTTATATAGAGCTTTTTTAGACGCTCAAAGACGCTTCACATGTCATTATTCTTTCACTCCATTCACGGTGGTGATAAACTACTACTGTAGCCACAGCTGCCCTGGGGCACACTGACAGAGGTGACGCAACCTGTATATGCCATTGGACCCTCCTACTACCATTCACACTCACACACCAGACTCATTCTTGGCAATGTGGGTGAAGTGTCTTGCCTAAGGAGACAACGGTGCCTGGTGTTCCCAGAGGTTGAGTGTCTTGACATCAGTGGGAGTCCATGGAGAAAGTTTTGGTGGTGGACTCGACCCCACCACCTTCAGGCTCAAAGGCCAATGCTCTACCAACTGAGCAACTGTTGCCTGGTCAAAATCTTTTTTTTCAAACTCAGAATTTAGCCGCATGAATCTGAACTGCTGCTTCCCCATGTTTAGTCCTGACTCTGGGCACTAGCAGCTAGTCCCTGTGCTCCTCAGAGTCCCAGCAGGAGGCCAGTCCCTGTGCTCTTCAGAGTCCCAGCAGGAGGCCAGTCCCTGTGCTCTTCAGAGTCCCAGCAGGAGGCCAGTCCCTGTGCTCTTCAGAGTCCCAGCAGGAGGCCAGTCCCTGTGCTCCTCAGAGTCCCAGCAGGAGGCCAGTCCCTGTGCTCTTCAGAGTCCCAGCAGGAGGCCAGTCCCTGTGCTCCTCAGAGTCCCAGCAGGAGGCCAGTCCCTGTGCTCCTCAGAGTCCCAGCAGGAGGCCAGTCCCTGTGCTCCTCAGAGTCCCAGCAGGAGGCCAGTCCCTGTGCTCCTGAGTTGGTTCCTTTTGGCACTGACATACAGTATGACAGTTATACAGTACTTGGGCTTGAGTTCAGCCCAAATGTCTGCCGCAGTAGCCCCGGCCCCGGCCCCCGTGGTCTGGGGTGAAGCCGGAGCCGCTGTAATGTTACTAAAGACTTTCTTAAAGAGTAGAGCGTGTGGTTAATATTCCCGCCGGGACGTCCCATAAACAGATGATGAATGGACACCGAGGCTCCCGCTGGCACCTGCTATTAGCCAACATTCATCACCAGGAACTCGCCACGCCCTCCGCAATGGCTTCTGGGAAACACAACCATATCCCCACCATAACAAATGTACTAGTGTCCTACAATAATTCAAGGGGGGAAAAAAAGAGACGAGATTAATGATATTGTTGGCAAAGCAGCTCGGTGAGGCGCAAACACGATTGTGAGATGACAGAGAATAATCTTTTTTGCACGAGGAGAGAAGTTACGTGGAGCTAAGCAGGTTTTTCCAAATAAGAACAAGGTCAAGTGGTTTAGCGGGAGACTTTTCCAGGGCTCGCTCTCTGACATGAGGGCGGTTTGGCTCACTTAAAGACACTCTCAACACAACAAGGGGCATGAGAAATGAAGCGGCCCACGCAAAGATACATAATTTGACGTAAACGTTTGTGTTTGGAGGCAGGGCAAGAGACACAAGATACTGTTGTCTTATTTTGGTTGGGGTTGTAATGTATGCACAGTTTTTGGGATTTGTATGAATCACGGTTCGCCTTTCGGGGCCCTTCGATTTTTTCGTGGATTATTGTGCGTGCTTTTTGTACTTATGGGCTGTGTGTGTATTCTCCAACATTGTCATATATATTCATCATATAATCACTAGTTTAACATGAACGCTACATAAAGTCTCTCTGGTCTCTGTCTGGTTTCCCTCTCTGGTTTCTCCCTCTGGTCTATCTCTAGTCTCTCTCTCTGGTCTCGCAATTGAAATCAGGAAGCAGGGCGCACAGACCATCAACAGAGACGAGGGGCCTTTCACCTTGGCTCACACTTGGGATTCACTTCTCCAGAGAACATAACGCTATCTATCTCTGGTCTCTCTCTCTCTCTTTCTTTGTCTCTCTGTCTTTTGCTGCATATACAACATCTTATAACTGCTAGCATAACATGAAGCTTAAGCGCAAATTCAGAGTGGAGGACCTAAGAACCCAGCTCTGAGCGCTCAGTTCTCCTGCTGTTGCCCACAGCAACAGCAATCAGTCAATCACACTCAGCTGCGCAGCGCCTCACGCAAATCCTCACCTGCAGCAGTCAGGCACTGCCCGCATCAGCTTCATATCACACAGAATCTCCATCCAAGCAGCAGCTTCATTCATGCCGCAACCCTCCTCCTCCCCATCTCCGCCTTGTTCTAGGTCAGCTCCTTCATCTCTCTCTTAGCTACCACCACCAGGGTCTAGGCCCCGGGGGATTTCATCTCATAATCTCTTTCCCCTTCTGCAATCGTGCAGTGCTCTGCCGGGGTCAAAGCGCCGAATCCCAATCACATTCTGTTCAGTACATTAAATGTAATCTTGAAAATATTGTCTTTAGTGTCATATGTGTCATTCATGCAGTGTCAGATTATCTACCAATAAACATACAATTCTAATACTATGTTTTTCCTGATTGAGTCTCTCCAGATTGAAATGACAATTACCTTTTTTGAAAATCAAAAGAAGACTGTTGTAGTCCTCTGTGATTAGAGGACTACAGCGGTCTTCCCGTAGTTTTACAGCCTTTAAACATAGAGCTGCAACTTTGTGGATTTCACTTATTGCGGGTTATGTTTAGAAAGTCGCCCCAA